TTGCTGCCCATCGAAGACTGACATAGGGCTCTCTACTCTTATTTGTTTTTGCAGGAATCCTTAGTAATCAGCATCCTGTATAATTATCTCTTTGGAGAGTGCCTTGCAGAATTTTCATATATTTGTTTATTTGCCAATCGAGAAATTCTCCAGCTTCATTGCCTTGCCAAGTAGACACATAGTGCTAATTTTTGTAAAGACTTATTCTTCTATGTATGTTGTTGTGTTGATGGCATATTCTCTCTATCCTACTCCCTCCGTTCCTAAATGTAAGTCTTTGTAGAGATTGCACTATAAACCACATACGGATGTATATAGATGCATTTTAAATTTAGATTCATTCATTTCGTTCCGTATGTAGTCCACCTAGTGGGATCTCTACAAAGACTTATATTTAGGAACGGAGGGAGTACTTGACAAAATAATGCAATCTAAGAAACACATTTGTATGAGATTCAGATTAATATTTTATTATTTTTACAGGAGTTAACCTTACAAAAAAATGTTTTACACACTTTTTCCAAAAAAACACATGACAATATTTCTACGGGACAAATGTATTTTTGCCCCTAGTTGGAACCTACCCACGGGTTTTGCCCTTACTTTTCGACTCTGCTCAGTTTTGCCCTTAGATTTTTCTCCGAGGTCACCTGAATGCCCTTTGACTGTTTGACCAATACTTTGAAAACTCGTAATAAATTGATATGAACTCAGAAAAATGCAAATAAGATATCAAAAGTTTCAGATAAACATTACCTTTATGTGCATGTCATTTGCATTTAGGACAAAAGTACTGTTTAAACTACCTAAGGTTATTAATGTTTTTAACATTATTAAAAATAAAAAGGTATAAACAATACTTATTTCAGGAATAAAATTTACATGCAAATGTAGGTGACATTTTCTGAATACCCTGATATCTTGTTTGCATTTTTCTGAGTTCATATCAAACTTCATAACAAGTTGATATGAACTCAGAAAAATGCAAAAAAAAAAAGATATCAAGATGTTCAGAAAACATCACCTACATTTGCATGTAATTTTTATTGTTGAAAAAATTATTTTTATACCTTTTTATTTTTAATAATGTTAATAACATTAATAACCTCGGGTAGTTTTAACGATACTTTTGTCCTTAATGCAAATGAGATGCACATAAAGGTAATGTTCTTCTGAACATTTTGATATCTTATTTGCATTTTTCCGAGTTCATATGAATTTGCTATGAATTTTTAAAGTACTGGTCAAACGGTCAAAAGGCATTCGGGCGACCTCGGGGGCAAATCTAAGTGCAAAATTGAGCAGAGTCGAAAAGTAAGGGCAAAACCCGTGGGTAGGTTCCAACTAGGGGCAAAAATGCAATTGTCCCTATTTCTACATATACATTAATTTTGTGCTACCACGTGTCGGGTAGCCCACATGGTCGATTCTTACCGAGGTGTACTTTCCACTTTTTGAATGGCGCACATGAGCCATACTTTTCTTTGGGGACACTTTCATAAAATGCATGTATGAAAATTCAGGAATTTTTGTTTTAGATTTTTGAACATTTGAATATTCAAAATGAACTTTAAAAATATTTTAATGTTAAAAAAATTAAAGTGAGATATTTCGAAACTTGAAAAAAATTCCGACTTGTGATATTTTTTAACTTTCATTTTTTGTACTTTACACAAGAAACTGGAAAGTTGGAAATGTCACACACGTAGGCCCCACCTCTTCATCCGGTACCGCATGTGTAGCCAACTGTTACCGCACGTGCTTGTGTGCCCACTCCCCCACCCCTCCCCGCGTACGACGAAGGCTTCCGACGCCTTCCACATTCCTGGCCCCCACCATGACGAGTGTGCCGCAAAAAAGCGTGTCCGGACAACCATACCCAATGTGCTCCCATCCTTGACTGGGGTGTATTAAACTGTGGAGGAGCAATTTCGCTCTCGAAGATTCACGTGGTCAAGTTACCAAAATAACTCATTTACACACTTTCTCCAAGACAAACATGACAATATTTCCACATATACATTGATTTTATGATATCATGTGCCAGATTCTTACGAATGTGTACGTTCCACTTTTTGAATGGCGCACATGATCCATACTTTTCTTTGGGAAACTTTCATAAAATTCAGAAAAATTTGTTTTAGATTTTTGAACATTTGGATATTTAAAATGAACTTTAAAAAACATTTTTAATGTTAAAAAAATTAAGGTTGAGATTTTTGAAACTTGAACTTTCAAAATTCTGACTTGTTATATCTTTTAACTTCATTTTTTAATGTTGTACAAAAGAAAAGGAAAAGCTAGAAAATGCCACACATGTAGGCGCCACCTCTTCATCTCGTACCACGTATGTTGCCAACTGTTGCTGACGTGCCCTATCCCCCCACCACTCCCGCATACGACGACGGCTTCCGGTGCCTTCCACGCACCTGGCCCTACATGACGACTGTGTAGAAAAAGTGCGTCCCAACAATCATATCCATCGTGGATGCATTAAACAAGTGGAGGAGCGTATTGTGCTCGAAGGTCCATGTGGTCCAGTTACCAAAAAAACTCATTTACACATTGTCTCCAAAAAAACATGACAATAGTTCTACATATACATTGCTTTATGTAATAATATGTCAAAAGATGCAGTAATTTGTTTGTTTCTTATTTTGTATACATCACCAATAGATATGTGTTGGAACTAAAACACATTTTTAATGCTAAAAAAATTGAAGTTGAGAATTTTCAAAACTTGAACTCTCAAAAGTCTGACTTGTGATTTCTTTTAACTTTCATTATTTTTAACTTTAGATGATTAGATGAAAAAAGGAAAGCTAAACAAATGCCGCGCGGGTGGGCCTTACCTCTTCATCGCGTACCACATGTGTAGTCAACTCTTGCCACTCGTGTTCCCCATAAAAGCGCGTCCCAACAACACTACCAGTGCGGGGTGCATTAAACAGTGAAGGAGCGTTTTTTTAATTTTCATTTTTTAAAACTTTACTCAGGAAAAGGGAAAGCAAAAAAAGTGTCATGTCAGTGGGCCCAGGCTTTTCATCCCGTACCACGTGTGTAACCAACTGTTGTCACACGTGCTTGCGTGGCCACCCCACTACTTCCACGTCCCCGTGCCTCCCGCGTGTCTGGCCCCCACCATGACGAGCGTTCCTCGAAAAACGCGTCCCAACAACCCTACCAAGTGTAGGTGCACTAAACAGTGGAGGAGCGTTTTCTTTTGACCTTCATTTTTTTTACTTTACACGAAAAAAGGGAAAGCTAAAAAAATATCGCGTCGGTGGGCCCTACC